GGTCATGATCTTGAGGTTCGTGGCACAGAGCCCTGCGTCGAGCTCTGTGCCAACAGTGCAGAGCCTGCTTGGGACTCTCTTCCTCCCTCTCTGTCCCTCCCCCACTCGTGCATGTGCACTCTCTCCCTCAAAATAAACACTTAAAAACAGAACGTACAATACCAATAAAACAAAAACTTCAATCAGGCAGGTCACAGAAAGAGAAACACGTGTGAGCAGACGTGCACATCCATAGGCCCACGGGCCACACATGCTCTGGACCTGGGCCCCGGCCCCCAGGACACGGAGCGGCCGTGGGCACACGCTGGCTGCGTGTGCTGGGTCTGCGTGCACAAGGAGGCCCTCCTCCAGGGAGAGGCCTCCCAGGACTCCTGGGCCCACGCGCCCTATGAAAGGGCTCTGGCTGTACCAGAGAGGGGCTGGGCTGCTCAATGGCCCCGGAGAGTCAGTTAATGCCCGACGCCACCTGCACCAAGGCCTTACTTAACTGGGCCCTCCTGGGGCACGTGGAGCTGTGCGGTGGCCACAGACCCCACAGGGGACCCAAACGGAGAACTCCCTTGGTGGACACGGCTGGCGGGCCCGGTGAGGGACAGAGCATGGCTGCCGGGCCCTGGTGGTCACGTGCACAGACGTCACCGCTACTGGTCACATCTGAGGAAAGGGCCAGCACCAGCGTTTTCTGCCATTCCCCCGTCCGAGGCTCTGGCTGTCTGCGTGCTGGCTAGACACATGGCCCGTCAGGGTCAGCCTCGGGTTTGTCTGCTTCACCGTAAGCTCCCGAGTCTGTCGGTATCCGAGGCATCTGCAGGCCAGGCGGAAGACAGTTACGCAGGCCGAGCCTCTCACCCTGAGAGGCCTGCTTCCAAGTTGGTCCTCGGCTGCGGCTGCCGGTTCAGGAGGGTCCTCGCTGTTCCTAGAACTGGCAGGAGTGGCCCCTGTGCCCAGACTGCTTGCACCAAGACGTGCTTATGCTCACATCTGCTTTCCCTCTAGAGTCCGGAGGCTGGTGTGTGCTCAGCGAAGGGTGCCCAAGAGCAGCCGCAACCCACACCCTGGGTGACAACGCTTCACCTGTGCTACAGTGGCTCCGGTGGGGAATCAGGCACCTCCCACGTGACGCCACGGCCGAGGACTCGGGAAGCCCCGCCTGTTCCCTCACACTTTGTGCCGGGAGCCTTTTCCCAGCGCTGATCCGCTGACCCGCGTCCTATCTCTGAGGAAAATCCCAGCTGTGAGGACGACTCCGCTCCCAGTCTTGGGTGTCCTTCGGCAAACCTTCCACCCTGGGGATGGTCCCGGGACCCTGACA